GAAAGCCTTTGATTTTGAGGGAAAGGGGGTGCTGGCCGTCCGGGAGGGTTTCTGTTTGCCCTGGGGCTTGGATGCCACCCCCAAGAGTGAAGTAATCCTGAGCGACTCGGAGGCAGGCGCTCTCTACCGCCTGACAGCCGACTTCCAGAAAGGGGAGTTGAAGAAGTGCCAGGAAAGCCTTTGATTTTGAGGGAAAGGGGGTGCTGGCCGTCCGGGAGGGTTTCTGTTTGCCCTGGGGCTTGGATGCCACCCCCAAGAGTGAAGTAATCCTGAGCGACTCGGAGGCAGGCGCTCTCTACCGCCTGACAGCCGACTTCCAGAAAGGGGAGTTGAAGAAGTGCCAGCTGGTCTGGTCGCGGCTCGTCAGCCCGCGAGCCGAGAGCCGTCGCAGTCTGCCAGACCTCGGGTGCTGTCGCGGTAATAGAGCACCTGAAAGCTCAAGGACGGAACAAGGGCAGCACCCGAGTGAAGATATTCAGCGCAGAGATGGATCTCATCAGCCAGATGGATAGCTTCGGTCTGAACCTCGTTTTCCCCTCCAAAATATACGCTACGGCTGTGGCCTTTGACAAAGAAGGTCGTGTTGTAGTAACGGATGTCTGTAGTCAGGCTGTGATATGCTTAGGGAAACCTGAGCAGTTTCCCATCTTTAACCCTCTAATTAGCCACGGGCTTTCTTACCCTGTAGGACTGACTTACACGGCAAACGATTCCCTCGTCGTTTTAGACAGCGGTGATCATTCAATAAAAATATATAGCTCTACCTGACTGGGTTTAGATGCTTAGCCTGCTGTAGGCTTGAGCTGCTTTTGCCATGAAGCATGCAAAGTTCTGATGTTTGTAGGCATGTAGGGAGGAGGCATTTTCTGGGCTTTACGTGGAATTGCTCTCTGACCAGCACGCTATGCTTCCTGCAAAACTTGTGTTGTGTCTCTTGCCTACCTGCAGGAGGAGACCCTGGCCGTTGCTGGCCATAGTCAGCAATGAGTCAGTCAACACTCAGCACTCTACTAGTTTATTCCCACCTTCATTAGGGTTGTACTGGAGCACTTGGTCTTCCTGTAAAATACCCAAGTCTGTGTCTTTACCTAGAGATAATCTGGTGTGTGGTTACAGGGCATGGGCAGCTTTCCCTGAAAGCCCTTTTACTTGTTCATGTTTAGACCACAAATACTTCTGCATATATAAATTTCAGTTGGCTCTGCTGCTAACACAGCTAGGTTTCCAAAAGTGCCTGCCCCTGTTTTGTCATTAATATGGTGCTTTTGCACTCTAAACTCCAGGATTGCAAATGGAAATGTTGGTGAGGAGTGAAAAAGGGGGGACCTAAGCCTCTTATTTTTTTCTCTATCTTCCAAATAAGGTTTTGTTGACTGTGAATACACAGGAGGTTTAGATCAGTTTATATTTTCTTGAAAGCACTTTCACTGTGGACACAAGTTCTGTTGCCTTATTGCACAGTGGAAATTAAGGTATATCTGAATTATTCTGAGATGATCTAACACCCCCACTGCGAGTTACTGCTGCATTTTGAGACATTTACCTGCTGCTAAAATGACTACTTAGGTGGTTCATCATTCAAATGAAGTTAGATATAAATGTAAATGCTATCTGAGGTAGATACAAATGGCATAAGACTTTTGGAGTAATTTCTTTTATTCAGTAACTGAAATCATTAATATTAACTCATGTAATTTGAAAGTCACAGACAATCTTTCTATCAGTAAATTTTTAAATCTGCCTTTTGGTCAGACTTCAAGGCATTTAATAACTGCATGTATTGCTGCACCAGTGATTTACCAAATACTTTAAATTGGAGCAGTTTAGCCCTCTTAATTCAGCCAATGTATTAATCTGTTTTATGTTAACATTTATATAAACAATACAAATCTATTAAATGAAGCTATTTGTAAAGGTTAATAGAATGGTGAACTGCGAATAAACCGTGATTTGCTTACTCCTATACTGAACAATTTAGTGAATATTCCTCATATCTTTTCATCGTGGGTTTCTTTGCTACGATACAGTTTCTGTATCACAGTTGCCTTGTAGATGGTTTCTTTTTCTATTTGGCAATATCCTGTGGAAGTTGCTGTAGAGCCATTTGTTGCTATTGAAAATTCTATGGACCTGCACATTTGGTCTTTTTCAACCTTCTTTACTGCCAGGCCAAACAGTAAGTGCCTTTGGAAGAACCAGAAATCCTCCTTAGCTGTTCTGCAGTAGGAGGTGTATGGCACCAAGCAGGAGCCCCTTGAAGGGTCAGAATGGAGATTTACTCAGAGAAGCATACACTTGGATTATATATTCCTTTCAGATGTCTGTCTTTGAGGGATATAAAACCAATTAGATAGCACTTCCTTTTGGGGGACTGCTGTGTGTCAAAATGTGTGCAATGCCATCAATGCTGTATTCATACATAATTAATAGTTTGTCGCAGTAGCACTTCCTTTGAACCGTGGGCTGTGAGCTTTCATCTCTTTCTTCATGTGCACCAGAAGCTTGTTCTTGCTACTGAACTCATGGGTGGGCAAATTTCCTAGGACTTACTGCCATGTAGGCAGCTTCCCAGCAGCTGAAATGCTGATTATTAAACATTTGACTCGTGCTGTTTTAAAATCTACAAAAACTCCCATTGTTGCCTATTCTGCTCCTGTCTCCTTTGGTATATGACTAGAAATCACTCGATGCTTGTGTCTGTAAGCAAAATAAACTTTGTGCCTTTATTCTATCTAGTTTTCTGTCTGCCATTTCCGGCAGTCTCTGCTTTACTTAACTACTGAAAGCAAATGTGGACTTTTTCTGGGGATGATGCAGCTGTTTCCCTTTTACTATACAGCTTGGTGCTGAGTGTTGTACAACCCTGCATCAAAGGAACAATTGCATTCCAGATTAATTCATTTGATGCAGGTGCCTAAATTGAGAAGCCATAAAAAACTGTATAAAAGCAAGGATTAAAAATTCTGAGTTCTTAAGTGTGTAAGCAAAAATGTAGCAGTAAAGCTGAAATCTTTCTTTAGACACACGGCAGAATTTAAGAGATAATGAGAAACAGAGATCCACCAATATGCTAATAACAAACTAAAAGCCTTTGACATTTTTATTTACTCTTGCCCTTCCTTTATGAAAGTATGTGCATTTCCTCTATAGGTACTACAGCTATCCATTGCCTTCAGGTTGACACCGTAATGCCATCTGCTTTTCAAAGGTTCAGGGGATGTGTACTCCCTCTGCAAATCTGTTGGAATTTTGCCACAGAGTTCAGCAGAATGAAAACTTGTGTTCTGAGAGAGGGATAGCAAAGTATGAGGGGCCCATGTTTGAGCAGATATCATTAGGTAGGTGATGCTTTTAGGGCATGTCTGGATGTGTTGGGAATGGGGATAGCTAGATGTGTGCTTGACTTTGGGAAACAGCGGTGGTCATTTCATGTAGAAAGTAACATGAAACTGTGTCTAGTCACTTCAGTGATAATTACTGTTGCATTTATTTAAAAAACCTACTGCCTTTGCACAACTCTCTGCACCTCATGCTTTAGCAATCTGGATTAAAACCAAATAAATGTTGTGGACAGTATTCCCCTAATGTCATCTCTTTGGTCCCTGCCATAGATTGCTCTGTCAGTTGTGCACACACACACTGCAATTCCTGTTTGGTTTATTTTTAATCACTGGTCTCAGGTTTCTATCTCTGCATATAAATATATCAGTGTGGGGGTTTTTTGTTTTGCTTGTGAAGAAAATAATTTTAGATAAAGAATATGATTTATTTTTAAGATCAAGGAATAAATAGAGGGGAGAAGGGGGGGGGAAAGGTTAAATTTACTTCACTTTGGCTATTATCTGTCCCCTGCAGCCACATTGCTGCGCACATCAGTTTGAGGTTTATATTTTCCCGAAGCATGGATGTACCACCACCATAGCACTGTTTTTAACATAGAGTTCAGGTCAAGCAGGACCTCCTGTAATATCCAGCCTCCAAACCACTGTGAATTTTATAGAGCAAGTGCTTCAAAATAATGGCTTTGAACACAGGAGACCTTTCAATTCTAGATGGGTTGATGGAGGTCAAAAAGCAACCTTCTCCCCAGGGACCGTGGATATGGTGCCGTTGCACCCTGCATAGGAGGAATTTACTTTCCTTTCTTTCCCTTCAATGTTTAGGTTTTTTTTTCCCTGAGTCTTCTCAGAGGTCCATCCTAACAGTTTACAAGTCACCTGTGAGTCACAGCTTGCCTCCACAGGAGTAAAGCAAAAATACACATATTTTGCAATGAATTCGAAACCTTGCACTTCATTCAGGCATCTCAGGAGAACCTGCAGATCATTCGGAAAGCAGCAAGTGCCCATTTGATACTGGGACATAAACATCCAGGCCTTCTCTACAGTTCTTCCTTCATATAACATTTCTGATTCTCCTGGACAGCTACGAAGCTCTCTAATACTGGAGAGGTTCTCAGGGAGCAGATGATTCTTTGCACTTGCACCTCTTTCTCACTACTGCTTTCCAAGAGATGTACAGATATTTCTGAACTTGGCACTCCAACCTCTCTTTGAGGCAAATGCAATACAAATGTCTTGGCCCTGCAGCTGCAGACAGGAGACCTGAGAATCAAGGGAAGCCTTTGGCAGGCTTGAAGCTAGACCTCAGAATTCCCATTACAAGGTTGGCACCTTAATAAAGCAGGGAGAGTCTGCATTTAATCATCCTCTTGTCTGGGAGTTGCCTTCCTGATTTTGGAAGAAGTTTTGACATTTTATTGATGATCTTCTTGTTACTAATTCCTTTGGTGTTTCCTACAAATCATGGAAATTAATACTTTTCTAAACCGCAATGTATTCCTAGATAATTGCTTCCAGTGTGCTCCACAAAGGTGTGTGGTTTCAGTTTTTAACTGCTCTGTAAGGAGGTGTACTGCTGTGAAGCCCCACTGCAGGGATCAGGTTACTTCTTTCACATTGAGGAAAGGAGGAGAAGAGATCAGCTCTAAAGGAGAAAAAAATTAATGCAAGGTGTCTGTAGCTTAAGCAGGGGGCAAACTCCACCACGTCAGAGCACAGAGCACACCCATAATTCCAGTAAAGGAAATGCATTCTTAAGAGGTGAAGCATTTCAGCCTGGAAAATGGACAAGATAATAAGGGTTGTTGTGCTTTGATTAGTATTTACCTCTGGCAAAGGAAAAACTTAAATTTGAACAGATTTTCAAGCCACAATTAGGCACTTTTCAGATGGCAGTCCTTAGGAGAGCTGTCTGTTATGTATCTGTAGCAAAAAAAAAATCTGTGGAAAATGAAGGTTTGGAGCAAACTAGGCATTTTAGGGAAGTATGCCCCCTGTAATCG